CCCCCCCCCCCCCGAGGGTCACTTATTGACTAGCGTCTGTGCTACAATGTTGACATCGAAAAACTCCTCTATTTATTGATCAAAGAAATTGTAAGGAAGTAAGTGGTACTGGTGGATGAATTAAACAAACCCTATAAACAAAGTTTTTGGTATTAATCCTTTATAAGCATTTTTTTAAATAGTTATATTAAAAAAAATTAATATTCTAATTTCCCAGGCGCTTTTACACCACAGACTATTTCGCCAGCTATTTCAGAAAAACAAAAGATCTAAGTCTTGTAATCATGTAAGCATGTAATCAAGCCATGCTGTTGACGCCGCTGAGTACCTGAAATCTTGTTTCAAGTAAAGATTGCCGCGACACTGCAATACACCGAAGCTTCTCAAACTGTTCACTTTGACCTCCCCGTGGAATTTATGGGAATAAGGGGGAGTGACTGCAATCGGGTTAGCTAAAAGTGAGCGACATAAAGTAGAGGAAAACATGTTAGGACGCGACAAAACAACGTGCATTTATCCACTTTTCACAAGCCTCGAATTTGTATAGAATAGTTTGTTGTCATCAATAATATTATGTTTTGATTAATATTGTGTTGTTTTTAAACTAACACCCACCAGTTTGAGGAGCACTGGTTAACAAAGCCACGTTTTAGTCAACCATAAACCACCCCAAACCAGTAGTTAAACAGTAGACCGCGGCAAACTGTGGACTAATCCTGAATATGAATAAGGAGCCCTGCAGTTTGACAGCCTACCGGGTGGCGGATGATGAAAACAACAGCCCCCAGCCACTCAACAACAACAACAAAAATGTATTTAAAAAAAAGACCTGCGACAAAGTCAAACACGTCTGTGTGAGCCATACACACTTTGCTGGAGTCGGAGTCGTGTAAACACACAATGAATCCGGACCAAAATGGTAATGTTAAGGTGAAACAGAAAATTTTGATGTATATGATGTGATTTGGGTCAGAATTTTTTGTAGGAAAATGGGGGAGGGGGAGGGAAAAGAGTTCCAGCGACCGTAGTATGGATCGAACTTGTGCAGCTTTGTTTGTGTGGGGAGGGTGGTGGTGAAAATCTTGGCTCAACCAAGGTGGTACTAGACCTAGCTGGGCCCGTGCAAGACGTAACAATGG